TTCTTGTATTTCTTACCTACTGCTGCATCCTGCTACATTTCTTCGCGCGCGACACCCCTCTCACCGCGACGCGACCATTTCGTTCCTAATGCACCACACCCCAGTAGGAGTGATGATTTCAACGTAGGTAACGTACATGCAATTTTAAGCCCAAGTGGGGTTTTGTAAAGTTATTACTTCATCGTAGGACAAGGGCATGGAGCCTATGTAGGTTAGTATGCCGGCAAGTAATGAGGGATTCATTTTCTACCTTTATTCCCTATAAAGACCCTCGTCCTTAGCATTTCTGCTCAAGCCGCTTACTATACCCTGGACTACCCAGTGGGTGGTTTTTTTTAAATCGGTATCAATTTTGGCGATACAAAGGAATACTTTCGGAAAAAAATGATTCACTATGTCTATGACAAGGAGAATAGATTTTGAATCCCGATCAAAATCGATATATTGGTTTCGAGCCCTTTTCTGGTAGGGAAATAGATTTCAGTCCCAACTCTAAGAGGAGTTTACCCAGTAATCCTAGAAATTCTTGACTGTAATAACTCGCTACTCAACTTCTGCCCACAGTTCATTGCTGGTGCTCGTACATGAATGAAGACGAGCCTTATAAGTATAGGTAAGGTCGTATGTTTATAAAAAAGGTCGTAGCCGTTTGAAAGCTATGTCATTCTTCCGGAGAGCTCCCGAAATTCTATAGGTTTGATACGGAATTGACAGTGAAGTAAGTAAAACTCGGATTCTATTATGGAGGCTATTTGATTGTTCATTCAGGCAAGTAGAGGCCATGATTAATCAAATCTTTCACGTGTTTCTTTCATTACTTTTAGAAAATTGTTCAATCACCCAGGATAGAATGTAATTATAAAGGGATGTCAAAACTTAATTGTGCTTATAAAAAAAAACTTATGGGAAAAGATGACGAGGCCAAAATTCGAGGAAAGGGAAAATTATGATTAGGGCTCCAATGCTGCCAGAAATTACCCATTTGACCACCTCTTTTGGATATGACGAATTCCAGAATGAACTTTTAATTGTGGAACGCTCTTTGGTAGTTGAATGACATCATTTGCCTATTTTTGACCATTCCCTCCTCAATGTTCAGATGTGTAGGCTCCAGGACTTCCAGTTTCAGTCACTCTAAGCATTTCGTATTGGTCGCCAAAGTTGTTGAAGGCATAGTTCACTATAATTTTGGGTAATCCACATTACGATAAAAAATGGAAGACAAGAACGAAATTAGTGCGACGACGGTGAAGAAAATGCGTGAATCGGTGTTTCCAAAGTAAAAAA